GTATTTCCAAAGAGAGAGGTATGCATTCCAGAGATAGGGGTGTGTGTGTGTGTTTCTCTACCACACTTTTCATTCTCTGTTTGATATCTTCATTCCATAATAAACAGGCGCACCCCCACCTCCGCTCCAAATTCATTATATAAAATGAGAAAAGCCACAATCATGTGAACAGCTGCCTGGATTAAAGAAGACTCTTTCAAACAGCCTGCGAGAAAACCCAAGAGAAAGGAGCTGCTGCCCCCTGGTGGCAACATAGGATAAATGTCTTAGAAAAAGCATGCCTATCCAGAGAGCTTTCCTCTACAGTAATGCCACTGCGGGGGCAGAGGGAAGCATCAACAGCCGAATAAGGAAAAACAGCTTCAGACACATCAGAGGCTGTTCCTCCAGCATCCGAGATGGTGGGAGATCTATTCAACGAGATGGTGGCTCAACTTTGTTGCATCACAGAAGAGCCAACTGTGGCTAAAATGGACCGAGCGTCACATTCTCAGTGCACCATGCATCACTGCACCCTGCACAAGAAATTTCTCACCATTCCAAGCTGCCAGCATCTTGGTATCCAGGTGGGGTCGGGGCCGCAGGGCCCGTGCCTTCAAGAGCGCCTCCCGGCTTTTAACCAGCATCGTCTTCAGCTGCTGCAGCTCCAATCCAAACCGGGCGGCTGTAAGTTCCAAGGAATATTGCACAATGAGGACATTTTTCCCTTTTAGCTCATTGTGAGGGTCCTGGAGGGGAACAAAGTCCGACATCAGAGAACAGAGAAAGAAGCAAAGTCAGACTCTTTAGCTCCACACATTTGTGACCATTATTCAGCTTATTCTAACTCGCTGGCCTCCCAGTGGCCTTCCTCATGGGACTGGCTGGCTGTGTATCTCAGTGTCACTGGGGCCCCATCACTGGGGCACGCCCAAAACAGATGGATAAGACCATTTCCTTTCTCCATTTTCTTGTTTTCCAACAATAGTTCTCAAACTTTGGTCTTCAAAAGGTTTTGGAATTCAACTCAGAAAATCCCCAACTCCAGGCCATGCTGGCTACGTCTTCTGGGAGTTAATAATATCTCGGGGTCCTGGTTGATAAACACAGATTTAGGAGAAGGAGACACAGCACGTAAAAGGTAACCAGAAAAATGGAGAGATAGAAAAGGATGATAGATAAAGGTATACTGTAGATTAAAACGTTTAAATTGGATCCCATGTTTATTATGGTTAGGGGTAAAAGGTAGGTTCTGTACTGGAAAGAAGTCTGAGACTAGTGATGTATCACAGTATTGCCATACCCTTATTAAAAGAATACCATCTCTCCACTGGCTGTCACACTTTGGGCACAACATGAGAACATAAATTGGAGAAGACCATAATTCTGGGAAAAGGGAAAGCCAACAGGAGAAGATGAGGACAGATTATGAGATGGGTTGACTCAATAATGGTAGTCGCGGCCCTGATTCTGCAAGAGCTGAGCAGGGCTGAGAATAACTGGACATGTCGAAGGTCAGTCTTTCAGCGGGTCGCCGTAAGTTGGGGGCAACAACGACAGCACATAATGACATCTCCCTGGGCCTCTTAAATAATGATTGCCTCTTCCTTCCAGGGACCTTTGGCTAGAAGCTGGACTCGATGACCTTTGGCATCCCTTCAGTTCTATGGTCCTATGAAGACTCAGCTGCCTCTGAAATCTGTCTCAGCAGTTTCTAAGTACTTTGGGGCCAGCCAAATACTCCATTAGCTCTCAAGGCCAGGCTCAGCTGTTCATCAGTTGGTATCATACAAAATCAAGCATCCTCTTCCAACAATTAGGGGCCAGCAGCGTTGTCTAAGGAGAAAAGTCCTGGCTCTCTCTTTCTGGAAACCATACCTCCAAGTTGTTTTCCCAGACTGCAGCACACAAGACATGTACCCTTCTCGCTCCTTTGTGGCAGAGGGGCCAAGAGCATTTCAGAGGCTTTCCCTTTCAGAGGCTTCACATTTCCCCAGCATTCAAACAGCCATTCAGTTGGAACTAAGAAATCTGCGGTTTTGTCTCAACTAATCAAAGCAGACTATTCCCACAACACATATACTAACAGATTTTAATTTATTTCCCCTCCACTCTCCCAGATAAGCCAACAAGCTCCTGCTTCACACCCTTCTTTGCTGGTTTGCAGTGGAACTAAGAGGATTTTTGGCCCAGAGGCGGCTGATCGTGATTCCAACTTCTAAGTCTCAAAATGCTGCTTTTGGATCAGGAACCCTGTAGCTCAGGAACATCTGCTGAGAGGCAGCCAGAAACATCCATAACACTTAAGACTAGCCAATCAGGGAGCATGTCTTGGAGGAGAGAGAACCTTTGGAAGAGACAACGCGGGAGTCCCCCAACGTTCTGACAACACCCATCTGTGCAGCAGTTCTGACAAAGCGCCCTTCCCCCCTCACAAGTGCCCCATAGTTCTTGGTGCTGTGCAAAGTGGGGGGGGGGACAACTCTGTGTGGATCTTGCTCCCACTGTGTATGTTTGTGCCTCAGCTGGCTTAGGCTCCTGCACCTCATATTTACCACAAAGCCTACTTTGAAATGCTTTGTAGAGCAGGCTATGCGTGCTTTTGTGCTCGTCTCCTGTGACTGTGTATTCACACAAAGGCACACATGTCGAGGCAAACCCTTGATGATGTTGCCTGGCTGAGAGCAGGTGCATGAATGAGGGCAGCGTCCCCCGTGAATGAGGGCAGGAAGCCCAGAAGCACGTGGGTCTGAGCAGCTGGGCTTCGGCAGATGCCGAGACTGGCCGCCTGGGGCTGCAGCTGTGGTCGGCACAGGACTGGCCCAGAGAGACACACACAAGAGTTCTTGTGGGCACTGGTCAGCACTTCTTTCGAGGTCTGTGGTGCCTCCTGTGGCGACCAGAATCTCTCCGAGCTGCAGAAGAGGTTGCAAGGCAGAACTGGCTCATGCCTCCCCCGACCCAGGCTCAGAGCTTGGAGCTTCTCCCCTAGCACTCCCCTAGCAGGGAGGCAGGGCGGTCCTTTCTAGTAGCTCTGCTGGGAGAAAGGATCTCTGTTCTCAACCTCTCATAAGCCTGGACAATCTCTGGGACATTGCGGGATAGCGAAGGGCCAACCTGCTCCCCACCCGCTCCCACGTCACCTTCATCGGATTCACATTGCCATCTTCCTTCACCCCGTAGTGATGGATGAAGACATCCGCTAAGGTCTTCCTTTCCGGGTTCCCTTCAATGGGGTCAGGCAAGAGTTGACGGATCTCCTCAGCGGTCCATACACAGAACGCCCCTTCCTGCTTCTCTTCTGACTGGACGGTGGGGTAGGAATCTGCATCCTCTGCGCTGTAGAATCCCCCAGACTGAAACCGAAAGCAGCACCGTTAAGGTCCACATTCCTGCACTGCCCAACCTGACATGAACAAAGGAGTGAACGTTCTGCTCGGAAATGAGCTGATTCGGTCTACTCATTTGCCCAGTCATGATGCCGCCTCACACAAAATTTGCATCCCTGCATTAGCAGTTAATGGCTGAAATCCTGTTGTGCAGCTCAGCGTGCATAGCAGGGATGACATCATCATCAGTGGCAAACAGCCACTGATTAAAGGCAAATGTAAGGTGTATACAATTTATACACAATGCAACAATGTTGCATGCACCTTGAAATCACCAAAGGAAACCTTTAATCAGTGGCAATTTGTTATTGTTGCTGAGGTCCTCCCTGTTATGCATGCAGAGTTGTGCAAGAGGATTTCACCCATTAACTGCTAATGCATTTCTCTCCAGACATATTTAGACTACAACCGTTACTGTCCCTTACAGCTGGTCTTGCTGGCTAGGACTTGTGAAGACTGAAATCTAACTCCAGCACAGCAAAAAGTTCTTCAGTTCTATATTAAAGAATAGTTGGAGAGTATGAGGGTTTACACTCCAGTAGCAAAAATAATGAATTTTGGAGGAAACAAATAAGGAAAATCAAACAAATCATTAAGGAGAGGTTCATTTTTCGTAGCTCTATTAGTTACTCAAATATGTATGAATATGCATTTTACAGAAATGCTCCTTTACATTTCCAAATGTCATGCTTTTACATCCAGTTTTTCTTATCTTAATTTCTCAATCTCTGAAAATTCCTAAAACATACACCTGTACCCTTTTTTTAAAGCCAATCTGAGTTCTGTACTCTGGTACAGACCTGCTGTTGACCCCCGTGTGACCCACATCAAGCTGAATGTGGCTGAGAGGAAGAAGGGGGGAAAGCTTGTTGCCCACTCCATGGAAGGATGTTGTATAAAGGGCTGCATTACTTTCCTCCCATAAGGCTGGGAGCTCCAGGCACTGTCCAGGACTGATGACTTTGCAGCTCCATCCATTCCAGGTGGATGATGGCAACTTGAAGGCTGGACACAGCTATTAAGGGCAACAAGGGACAACCCAAGACGGTAGCTTACCTTATCGCTCAGATCCCGGGAAACATACAGCAGAATATCTGCCAGGGTGTCTGCAAAGAATTCATCACCAGAAATCTGTGTAGGAGAGAAAAAGGATTTTATTCCAATGGGGACAGATTTGGGGACAAAAAGGTAAAGACAATCATGTTTGTGATACTTGCAATTAAAGGAATTAAGGGGGAGGATGGGAGGATGCTGGGATGGGGAGGCAACACTCCCCAGTCAGGGCAGAGGGACCCTAACCTCCAGACCAAGAAAAGCAAAGGATAGCACTGTTGGAATCAGTAGGAATGAACTTTGATTTATATCAAAATGCTGTCTGCCAGCTCAACCTCCTTTGTGCAGCAGAAATGTTGAAGGCCTGGAAGAATCACACCCAGGCTATTCAGCTCCCAAGGCACTAAACAGCTGTTGCCTAGTGAATAAATGAGAAGCCCTGGGAGCAAGGGACATACGGCCTGTTCTTCGTTCTCTTAGGTTGTATAAGGTGCAGCCATGTCCCCACTAGAAGCTCAGAAATAAAACAGTAGTGACAGAGGCATAGATGACAACTCTGAACATACCCCACGGATCTCCTGCCCGATCCTATCTGCATGTTTCACACAATGCCAGTCCACGACCCCAAAGTTCTGCAACAACCCAAATCTCACAACTGGACTTAGAGCAAGAACTTGCGTTCAGATTTATTCCAATTTGTCTGATCTGTGCACATTATTCTTTTGGGATTTTGTTTCCATGCCACAAGATGCAGGTACATGACCCCCATCAGGATGGAGACTTAGCGTAAAGCTGCTCTTAGAGGGTGGATGAGATGAATGCGAGTATCCCGCCAGAGTACTAGCAGCAGACAAGATATGCAATAGGGGGATCCAAGCTCATCCCTGGCTGTGGGGAAGCCAATGATCGAATGCTGAGGCAAGGAGGCTGCTGTTTTACTGACTAGCTTTGCTAATCCTCTAAACCCTTGCAGATTCCACAGCTGCAAATCCTTTTTGAATTGCATCTGAAGAGTCTGGTAATGGGCAATTAAAATTAGGATGGTGAAGGAGAATGGCTTAACACAAAAGCCCTCTCATCTCCAGCCCAGGTTACATCAGCAGCCACTCTAGCTGAGCACCTGAACGGGAATTTATTCACTGGACGATGTGTATGTGGCCCTTTGCCTCAGAGGAGCCCTCCCAGTAGTTTTATGACTGGAATCAACCCGGCACAGCGTCACATCCAAGGGCTACGCTTACATTAAGAACAAAGGAGAAAACATGAGCTCAAATGTAGGCACCTGCATCAACAAAACGTATCTAAATTTCTTTCTCATCCCCTGAAGCCTGATCTTTACTGTCCTTCAGAAAACTGGAATAAAATAAGAGTGGGAAGCTGGGAGAAGCCTCTTGGGAGGCTGTTTTGCAGAGAAGGTGCCACCAGAGAGAAAGCCCAGAGAACAAACAAGAATCAGCTGCAGGCACGAGCCATAAGAGAAGGGGTTCAGGAAGCCGGATAAGCCACAGATGGTACCTAATCAGAAAGAACATTGAGCAGCCAAACCTTGTAGCAGTACAAAAGGTGTGTGTGTGGGGAGGGGGGGGTTAATAGATACCCAGTGGAGTGCTGTGAACAAACTAGGACTCAGGAGGCCTAAGTTTGAATCCTAGCTCAGGCAAGGAAACTCACTCTAGTAAATGGTAAAGGTAAAGGTTCCCCTTGACAATTTTTGTCCAGTCGTGTTCGACTCTAGGGGGCGGTGCTCATCCCCGTTTCCAACCCATAGAGCTAGGGTTTTGTCCAAAGACAATCTTCCGTGGTCATGTGGCCAGCATGACTAGAAACAGAACGCCATTGTGGCGATCCCCTCTGAAGTCCCTATCCTCCCCCAGGTCTTCACGAGGTTCTCGCCCGTCTTCCTTCTTCGCTGCCACCAGATATTAATCTTCACGAAGTTCTCGCCCATCTTCCTTCTTCGCTGCCATCAGATATTAAATCTTTAATATCAATTACTTATAGAGACTAGTGTGCTGTTCAAAACTTAAGTCATTTATTAGATCAGGGAAGTTAATATTTGATTAATATTTAAGAGAAAAATCACAGGTTGCCAATCACTTGCATTTGAATCAAATCTGTTCTACCTTTAAACCTCTTTTAACCTTCTGTTTCAATCTAGACTCTTACAGATCTCTAACTCACTCTTAATTCACTTTTAAGTTTCACACAGTCTTTCTCTACCAGAATCTCCTCTCAGACCCCATCCACCAGTCTTTTTATCCATCTCTCTCCACGCTCGGCTCCGCCTTCCATCCACTCATTGGCTCCTTTTTTTAATATTCTGCGATGACGGACAGGTGAGGGCAGGGCTGTTCGCTACAGCCGTTATTTTCCCACTGAGGTGGTCCCTATTTATCTACTCACATATTTGCATTTTTTTTCATGCTTTCGAACCGCTAGGTTAGCAGGAGCTGGGACAAGCGACGGGGGCTCACACCGATGTGTGGATTTGATCTTACGACTGCAGATCTTCTGACCTTGCAGCACAGAGGCTTCCATGGTTTAACCCGCAGCACCACCATGTCCCATGGAACAGTTAAAACCACCCCTTAAATATGCGACTTGAGAGCCCTATTAGGGTCACTATAAATGAGCTCTGACTTGACGGCACAGCCCAGGCACACAGGGATTAACAAAGAGTCAACGCAAGTGCGCAAACTGTTGACCGGATGTCCTCCAAGCACTACCTTGTAGCCCCTCTTGAGCTGAAATAACCAGTAGGGATGTCAGGGAAGGATTGTTCTACCCCTTTTGACTCTCTGGCCTGCGCCTCTCAGCCCACTGATTATTTCGCAGGCTCTGCACTTATTCTCACTTTAACTTCCTTTCACGTTTGTACAGGGAGCAGACACATTCTCTCCCCTCAGCCATGGGCTCTCCAGGGGGCCCATGTCCACCCTGTTAAGAGCAGCATTTAGGCTTTTCTATCTTGAAGGTAACTTTTTCAGTAAAAGTTTAGTTACGGTATTTGATTTCAACGGCTGCCTTTCCTCGTGGGCCTGCCCTGGGAATGGCAACCCACACCTTTAAGCCAAACTCAGCTACAGAGAGAACGTTTATTCTTTTTTCTTTCCTTTCTCTCTCACGTTGTGAACATTTACAATGAAATGTGTTGACAACACATATTAGATGCTGCACAGCTCAATCACAGCAGGGTGGGAACAGAGCACACGTCCGTGCCTCTGCCGGCTCCCATCCGAGCCCTCTAGTTCCCCCGGAGCCCAGGAAACACAGAGGATGGGCTGTGCGGCCCGCAGGAGTATAACGTTAGGAGATATAATGGAATTCTTTCTTCAGTGCCCTCTGGACAAAAAACAAACAAACACCATTATAGGGAGAGCCTGAAAAGTTATTACATGCTTGACAACTCAAGATTCCCTCCAAGACGGAAGATGTGAGGACAGTGAAGGTCACAGGCTAAGCTCGGGAACCAATCCCTTCTATCCCCCTCCCTTACTTTCCTCTGTTCAGGCCCATTTCCTGGCAGCAGTGAGATGATGAGGTGGTGGTGGATCTGCTTATGGAACTGGGAAACTTCACCCGAAAAGAGAAACTGAGGAGAGGCAGATCATGGAAGCTGCCCCATCCAAACATATCCCAGCGGGAGGCAGCTTTGGCAGAAAGCCCAAGCGTACATTCATTCCACTTCCGAGCAGGCCTGCCCGTCACAGAGCAAAAAGTGCAACTGCTTTTGCTCCAACCAACCATTTCTGACTTCACCCTTTCCTAGGTAAACACTGACTTGCTCTACAGCACCCAAAGTGATCAATCCATGTCTTGGTTTTCATTACACTCCTGAGGTGCCACATTACGGCCTAGGATAACGTGCAGTGAGTAGTATGGAAGGATCTGCACTTAGCGTCGCCATCTCCCTCCACTGCCCACAAACAGCCTCGGCGAAACAAAGGAAACAACCACAAGAAAACTTCCGTTTCCTCCTCCTTTGCCTACAAGCACTCTTCCTCGACACCACATGGGAAAAGAAATGCGTTTCCCCATCTCTTTCAATAGGAGGTGGCAAAGGCGCTGCCCCAGAGTATCAGGGCAGCTGGAGGAGGAGGAGAAAACACCACAGCTACTCCTCCCACCCTTCAAAAAGGCAGGAGGAGCTGCTGTAAGGACTATGACAGCACAGCCCTGGCTGCTTGGACCCCAAACAGTGCCTGCCAGAGGAAGAGGAGGGGTGTCCCGAGACTTCCAGATGTGACCTCCTTGGGTCCCCACCATTCTGGCACCTTCAAGGAAGGCTGTATCCTCCTCCTGCTCCTCCTCCAGCGCTGTTGGGAGGACCACCCCCATTTTGCTGCTGCCATTGCTTACACCCCCTATTGCAGGTAACAGGTCCCTCTTGCTTACAGGCATGGCTTCTCCTGGATTGGAAGCAGGGCCGGAGGGGAGCCAGGCATTCTCCACCCCAAGGGCTCTGCAACCCGAGGAAAAGGCCATTGGCCTTCCTGAAGAAAAATGGCAGAGCTGGGCCTGTCAGAGAATTACCGGGGTGAAAAGATCTATTTATTTATTATTAAACTTATTCCCCGCCCATCTAGACTGACGTCTAAATCTATCCCATTTCTCAGAGAACGACTTCAACATAACTGACTCCATCGTGTTAGGCACACAGAAAGGTGGCCACAATACAGAATGGAAGCAGCAATACAAGGAAATAATATGGAATCCAACTACAGTACTATGAAAATTTCCCCTGATTTCCTCTGACTTTCCCCTCCCCCCATAAAGCCTTGCCTCCTGCCCCCTTCTTGACCAAGATGAGCATTTTCCCCTTTCCCACTTCTTTCCGGCCCTGTCCTACAACAGAGATTCAGGGGGTGTTGAAAGAACAGTACCTGGAATGCCTTGGCATAAGCTGCTGCCAGCTGCCCCTGGTCGTACAGCATCTTTTCGAAATGAGGGACATGCCAGCGTTGATCCGTGGAGTAGCGATGGAACCCCTGCAGGAGGGAGAGAGGAGGGAGGTGATCACCCTATCTGTCCAGCTGGAAGTGGTGTTATATATCCCCCACAAATTCTCTTCAACAGAAGACAGTCTTAAGCCGGGCAAGGATGTCTCTGAGGGTTAACAGACTAGGCCGCCCTAACGGAGAAGCTCCAAAGCAGTCAAGAGAGCCTGGTGGCTCAGGAGGCCTTTGGCGATACAAAGCCACTGGGCCCAATCAGTCTGCGGTGGTGCAAGGCTCACAACACAGGAGAAGAACAAAGGTGGAGTCTTATCAGCTACTCTCTGAAAAAGCGAGAAGGTGCCTACAACAAGGAGCGCCATAGATCCTGTTCTGTGGAGGGTTTGGAGTATTGACTTCATAATTCTCTGCTTATCTTCCTAGAATCCAGTCTCACAACCATACATGCAATTTTAGAGGACCTGTGCCCCAAATATCCAGCCCTAGTATTCCCCACAGGCTGCACTGACCCTTGTAAAAGTCATGATGGGAAGACATTTCCATTTCCTTCCTCCTTCTTTTTATTTTGAGGAATCTGATAAACCCCACATCCCATTTCGGAGCAAATGTACTCTGAAATGGCCTCCAGGTGCAGAAAATAACTCCCTCAGAATTTTCTTAGCTGCAGGTACCCAGGGGCATCCACAGAGGTCACAATAGCAAACTAGGAGCAGGGGGGCATGTTGCCTACAGGTGGCACTTTGCCCACCCTTGCCCTGCACAATATCATCCATTCTCTTTCCAATTCAACTGTCTGAATGGCATTGCTTAGGTAACAAAAGAGTACCATCCACATACAGGAAGTTGCTATCAAGGGGCTCAGAGATATGAGTACAGAAAAATCTTGACCAAAACAAGGAAAGGAGAGAGAAAATAGCCTTGAGAAACAACCAAGAACATCTCATAAAATCAATTCAAATATCTTGCAATGTTAATGTCACCAGGATTGTGTCCACGTAGTTTAACGCAGCCATTAATGAGTCCATACCCAACGCAAAGGAACGTAATGGGAACTGAGTGTGCGCAGTGGGCACAGAATGCTGATTCACTTGGTGGGAAGGGGGAAATGGCTAATAAGCGAAGGGACAGAAGGAATCTCTGAATAGATGCATTTCACATTACAATAGTCTGTTGCGCAATCCTCCTTACACAGTAGATTAGCTGGATTTACATTGATTATAACCATGGCAATCAGGACATCTTTGAGATTAGGCTGTCTTTTTAGCAACTGGATCAATGAATGATTCACTAACCAAGCTGACCCCACATCATGAGTGGGTTAAAAAAAATAAGTATATTTTACTGGCCCGGCCAGCCTACAGCGAACATGTAGCTCACCAAGCCTTCCATCCAGCCCATGTAGGTGGCAGTGTTTATCTCTAATAAATTATCCTTATCTAATCTTCATTCTTTTATCTAAACATTCATTCACCTCCATATCATCTCAATGACAAGTGAAAAGGTGAAGTTTAAAGTAAGTTCAGTCACTCTTTCTGCTTGTTGACGGGCATTTACAGATCCTATCTCAAGTCCAGGCCTTGCCTAAATCCCACATGAGGATCCAAAGGCTGGCAGTTATTAAAAGGCCTGGCATGGTGTTCAGCTGTGCCAAAGTCACCATCCAACCCCGCCCTCCAAGCTGCACCACCACAGCGTTCTCTGCAACTCATGAGGCCACTGCTCAGCTGTTCGGAGCTATTCTCTTGGACAAGATGACAAACATGAATGAGCCTTCCTGCGTACCACGCTTCCCCCTGTAAGCAGTGCCTGGCCCCATCGATCCAACAGCTGCTTAATAAAAGGAGAGGAAGACAGTTCAGGGGAAGGGGTCACACGTGAAAAGGAGGACGAACAGCTATTTGGGATTAATCTCTCAGTGAAGGGTCTGCCATCACAGCACTTACTTACTTACTTACTTACTTACTTACTTACTTACTTACTTACTTACTTACTTACTTACTTACTTACTTACTTACTTACTTACTTACTTACTTACTTACTTACTTACTTACTTACTTACTTACTTACTTACTTACTTACTTACTTACTTACTTACTTACTTACTTACTTACCTTACCTTACCTTACCTTACCTTACCTTTACTTTACTTTACTTTACTTTCTTACTTACTTAACGTATTTCTATCCCACCTTTCTCCCCAAAAGGACTCAGGGCAGGTTACATCATCAAAACAGTATTTAAAGGCTAAAAACAATAAGTATACAAATATTTAAAAAGAATTAAACAAGTATTATATTAAAATGCTAACTAGGATCAATATTAAAACATATTTAAAACACAGCAGAGCACAACAGTCCATTAAAACACCCCTTAGATCACCAGTCATTAAGGAAAAGCCTGCCTGAAGAGGAAGGTCTTTCCCTGCTTGCGGAAGGACAGCAAAGATGGGGCCAGTCTGGCCTCCCGTGGGAGGGAGTTCCAAAGTCTGGGAGCAGCGACAGAGAAGGCCCTCTCTCCTGTGTCCCCACCAAGCATGCCTATGAGGGGGGCTGGACCGAGAGAAAGGCCTGCCCTGATGATCTTAATGCCTGCAGCAATTTGGACCCTTTGAAGTTTTCGAACACTTTCCAAAGGCAATCCCACGCAGAGCATGTCACAGTAATCCAGTCAAGATGTAACTAGGGCATGTGTCACTGTGGCCAGATCAGACCTGTCAAGAAATGGGTGCAGCTGGCACACTGGTTTTAACTGTGCAAAGGCCCTCCTGGCCACTGGTGAAACTAGGGTATCCGGACTCAGAGGTGAATCCAGGAACACCCCCAAGCTGCATGTCTGTGTTTTCAAAGGGAGTGTAACCCCATCCAGCACAGGCGGAATCCCTATTCCTTGATCTTATTTTTGACTGACCAGGAGCACCTCTGTCTTGTCTGGATTAGGTTTCTCTTCATTCGCCCTCATCCAGTCCATGATTGACACCAAACACTGATCTACAGCTGAAACATCTTCCTTGGATTTAGATGGAAAGGAGAGACAGAGTTTGGTGTCATCCATGTATTGTTAACATCAAACCCCAGAATTCCGGACGACCTCTCCCAGTGGTCTTGCTATAAGCAACAGGGGACAAAACAGAACCCTGAGGGACACTACAGGCCACCTACAGGCCTCTATCCATTCTTACCTGGGCAATATGATCATGAATCCCCCCATAGGCCATCATCTTGAGGGTGTGCAGTGCCATCTGAAGTGCCTGAGCTCCTTCAGGAGTTGACCGATGAAGAGCCCAGTGGGAGAAGAGGAAATTCAAGTTGACTGCAACATAAGAAGGTTGGGGGAGAGTAATGGATCCAGCTCAGTCGCTCATCTAGAGCGATTTCCTTCTATGACAACAGACTGACTAGACTGGTGAGATGAACCTCCAGCCATGGCCAGTCCCAATAGAGTCAGTAGCTTTCCCCAAAATCCAGCCATTGCTGAAGGAGAGATTTCCCATGTGCCCCTCACTTTTCCACCTGGGAAGGCAAACAAGGTTGGGGAGGCAGGATCTTGGGCTAACCTGGAGTAGGAAACTTGGGCGATTCTGAGAATCCACCATATTCTTCATCATAAGACTCTGACAGTTGCTGGAAACACCTGGTCATCACCTCCTTGGAAGACGGGGGTGGTTCCTCTCCTCGAACACCAACATCAGTCCTGGCTAACAGTGCAGACAAGATCTTCTGGCTGTTTTCCAAAAGGCTTGTCTTGTTCCGTTTCCACTAGAGTGAAAGGCCGAAGGGAGAGACTACAAGGTCATCATTCTTCACCTATTTGCCTGGTGCCTCACCTAATCATCTGCCTGCTCAGAAAGAATTCCAGTTCATTTCCCACCCAGAGATTGAAGAATGCTCTTGGAGGAAATCAAGGTAAGAATGTTAGCAGAACACAGCAGGCCAAATCGCTCAAAATGCTCATGGGAATAGGAAATCCACTGAGGATAAAACCTAGTCTTGAATATGAAAGCTGGCCTCTGTGTGGGTGTAAGGATGCAGAAGGTCAATATGGAGGCAATTCATGGCCTTCCTTCCAAAGCAGAAGAAACAGAACAAAGGAAAGGAACCTATTCCTTTGAAATGTGATCCAGGAAGAAGGGCAACCATCTAGAAATGGTCACTTAGAAAAAACCAAGAGAAGCCAAGATGCCCAGTCCTTCCTGGCTGGCTGCTTTTTCCCCATCCATTTTGGTTAAATCACTGGTTCTTAACCTTGGGTTACTCAGGAGTTTTGGACTGCAACTCCCAGAAGCCTTCACCACCAGCTGTCCTGACTGGGGTTTCTGGGAGTTGCAGTTCAAAAGCATCTGAGTAACAAAGGTTAAGAACCACTCGTCTAAATCACTGGTGGGCAAAGTATAGCTCATGGGCTACATGCACCCCACTGAACCCCAATAGTGGCCCTCCATAAACTGTTCCCTACACCCAACAATTGTTTACATTTTTAAAAAGAAATATTTTTGCTTGAAAAGTACCCTTGCAGCCACTAGGATTCCTCATACTACCTGTTTTTTGTCATTTTGTAAAATTTGGACACCAGAAGATGTGAGGGCAAAGTGTACCTCATGGGCTACATGCACCCCACTGAACCCCAATAGTGGCCCTCCATAAACTGTTCCCTACACCCAACAATTGTTTACATTTTTAAAAAGAAATATTTTTGCTTGAAAAGTACCCTTGCAGCCACTAGGATTCCTCATACTACCTGTTTTTTGTCATTTTGTAAAATTTGGACACCAGAAGATGTGAGTGCGCTTTCTCAGCAGGGGGCGGGAGGAAATAATGGGGGGAGGGAGCACAAAGAGGCATGGGAGTCATTATGGCTCTTTAAGCTTCATGGTGGCCATGTGTTGTTCCCTAGACCTCTAGAAATTGCTCATCTTTTCTTCAAATGCAACACTGCTGCACTTAATAATCCCACATATGAATTTAAAGACAATATGACACATGAGGGGCAATCCAAAGGGAGTGCCTTCTCAGGTATTGTAGCTGCCACTCCTACCACTGCATCAAAGCATTCCCAGGATCTTTCATGCACGAACTATGTGGCTCTAGGACAGAAGTTGGCAAACCTCAGTCTACTAACCAGTTCCTTTCTCCCCAGTCCTCTCTGACATCGGGAGGAATTCCCCAAGTCCACTTCGTTTACAAATCCTCCATTAACCCATCCAGTTAAACAGAGCAGCAAGCTTGGACCAGATGCTACACTGACGGTTGTACCAACAAGGACATCAGTTCATTACACAGTCTTGAACACTGCACTCCGTACCTGGTCTAGGATGCGCAGCAGAACAGTCCGAAAGCCAATCTGGTAAATTCTGTCCTCGGGAGGGAAATAGGTCCCACCTACAAATGGTTTGAGTTCAGGAGTCAACCATACGCTCATTGGCCAGCCCCCTCCACTGCTGGTGGCCTGTAGGAAAAACATGATAGCTAGAGATGGGGACACTTGTATTCACATATGAATATCCCCATGAAGCTGGAGTTAACGAGGGTCCACCCCCTGGGGCTGGATCACCCACTCACGCATCCACTGGCATCAGCAGCCTTGCTCACCCTTCCCATCACTCCTGGAGCCTCGCTCTCTTCCTGCTTGGCTAGTGACCCAGCAGCTGTGCAGGGAGACTCGTCCTCCCTCCCTTTGCCTGGAGTGGCTAGCCGAGCAGGCAAAGAGTGTGGCTCCGGGATTGATTGGAAGGGTGAGCAAGGCCCCTGCCGGCAGACGCGTGAGTGGACGGTCCAGCCCCAGGGGGCGGACCCTCATTAACTCCAGCTGCACGGGGGTATTTGTATTCATATACGAATACCCCCATCTCTAATGATAGTATATACTGTAGTAGACACCCTGCACCATTCTCTGTCCTTCCTCCAGGAAATAATCAGAGAGCTAGTTATCTCCCGTTCTTTCCTCTGGTGTGCCCATGGGCTAATGCCCTACCTGTACAAAGGTCATGTAGACTTTATCAACATCTGGGCGTTCCTCACGATCCACCTTGATGCACACGAAGTTGTCATTCAAAATTCTGGCAATTTCTTCATTCTGGAAGGATTCCTGCTCCATCACATGGCACCAATGGCAGGTTGAATAGCCAACTGAAGACATACATACAGCCAATTAAACAAGAGTCCACCAATGAGCAAAGCAATGGAATGGCAATCTCCAGAGAAAACTGGCACTTCACGGGGATTGGGGAGGTTGATAGGGGAAACACAACGGCAGTCTTCCTCTGCAGATACATACTTTGAGGTGCTTAGGTAAAGAGTGAGGATAGGCACTTATGTATAAGAAGAACAAAAGGGAAATAGCTCTTTTGGAATGTTGGCTGCAGACCACCTGGAAGGGTTCACTGCCCGTTCAGGAAATTCTGAAACAGGATACCAATAACCTTTCTGTAAGCAAAACGTTTTATACCCGATGAAAGTGAACTGGCTAAATCAAGGAAGTCTGAATGAGGAGGCTTAATAAGATATTTTTATAATGAAGTGCCGAAGCCAGGTTATTAAAAAAATAGGCACCTAACAACCTTTGAGACAAATAGAAGTCCTTTTAGGCTTCAGTTCTGTACACTGTTATATCTGAGTCACCACATATAAGTTCAATCAATTTTTTTCTGAAAACACATAGTTTTCCAAAACTCTTTCCCATATGGCATTTTTTAAAAAAAATTAAAGGACGGGGAAGAAACAGAAAGTAGCAGCTAGAATCCTGTTAATTACATAAATTGGCATGAATCAAACAGCATAAATCACAACAGCCAATTTTGGCTAGTTAAGGAGTCAAGGCTTACACTCCTCATTGTGCACCAACTGCATGACTTGGCAGGCAACAAGGAATAGAAGCCCCAACTCCTTAACTACCAGCTGTTCACCACCATGATTTATGCCATTTTGACTTACACCAGTGTATTTAACCAATAGGATCTGGGACTAAATGTAATCTCCCATCTTACTATAAAGGACTGCCAGGTTTCTGTCTTGACTCAATACCATGTTTTTGTGATTGACCCAAGCCACTGGATGCATCTCTGCCTTAGAGCCAGGTTCTGTTTTCCCAAGAATAAAAAATATTTAGCCCCTTCTTACAGTAGCTTCTATTTTATCTAAGCTCCAAATCTCCGTGTACGAGAATGTGCACAGAGCCCTCGTCAAGTCAGAAAATCTTCTCCTAATGAAGTAGACACATCCACTGGCAAGTCTACATATGACTATCACCAGGGAATCAGCTAACTTGCCAGTAAACATCTTTGCAAGGTGCACAACCATTAAATGAGTCACATCAGAGCATCCCAGAAGAAGGAGGCCTGGGGAAAGGAACTTGCCCTTTTTTTCTCCCAGAAAGCATTTGATTGCCCAGTACATGGGGGGGGGCAGTTTTTGTACTGGCCTGTGTTATATTCAGGATTTGAGCATGCATGGGGGGCTCCAATTGCATAAGCTGCTGTAGCAACATGACAAGGTTCTGGTTGTGCACAACTAGGCGCATGACCAGCACTGGTCAGATCACTGTGGCACCTTCCACAGGCAGATTAGTCAACAGGATATTGGTCATCATTTCTTCCTCCAAGTGCAAGCTTATTCTCTCAGACTGAAAACAACATGTTAGCAAATAGGAATGTTTTCCATATTTTCTACATGTTTGAAAGCGCCAATAAAGATACTATACACCATATATGCATCTATTCAGATGTAAGCATGTACCTGTGGTGAGCATAGAATGAAGCTGTTTCTTCATTACCTGACAGAAATATCAACTTGTCCTCCCTTTTTGCTCTGTCAAAGGCTTCCTGGCCCCAAGGGTACCTGTGGGGGAAAAGAAACCGAGAAAGATGCTGGAATTTGTTTCTTCCATCCACCTCTTTCAGTATACTGCAATTTAATGCAGGCTGCTGGTTTGAGGCAGGCTAATGCTTAACCCACAAGCCCTTCTACAGAAATGAAAGCCACTTTTCAATACCACAATGTCAGCTCAAACTCAATAGTGGCTGTGGAGCTTAACATTCCTGTGAAGGCAGAGGAGGAGAGTACCTGAAAGCCGCCGCCACCACCACCCCGCCACTTGGGACCCACTGGAAGCCAGCCTTGATCCTAGCCGTGACAGAGAGCTGTTTGTCTGAGGACAAATCCAAGGAGTTCTGCCTGGAGCTATGCCAAAGCAACTCACCTGGCTCATTTACTACCACGAGCATGCTGGGGCATGTGTGTACACGCAGGCATGTGCAATTAATGATCATTTAGCATAGGTGATGAACAGAGTCCTCACTTCATTAGAAGTCAAGATTATTGTTGCTCCTGATTTCATATCCCCAGGGACCACCCAAAGTAGCTTTTTGAATGCTGAACAAGATTTCGTAGCCATTTAGTTCTGTTCTGAGCTGGAGAACCGCACCATTTAGGAACCCCGGTTGCATTGTCAAAATTGTCTCAGTACCACCTTTTGATCTTAAAACACAAACCAGCTTCTCCTCCTCAGCGCTGCTACGGATCTGTACATTCAGCTCAGGAGATACCCCAAACAAAACCCACTCACTTGCTCAGATTTTCTATAGTTACTACTCATGCATTCTCTTTATAACCCACTTTTGTACGATATCACATACACAATGTGGCATATAATAATATAAGCAATCATATAATTTTTTTACAGATCCATGAACAATGTTAAGAGAAACCTGATACATCAGACATCAAGAACTATGCAACATAAGTGCCGTTTAAACAGAACCTGAAACATTAAACATTAAACCAGTTGGAGTAAAAATTGTTTTCACGAATCATTTCAAACCCAAATGTTTTAGAAAATGTTAAACTGAAAACAGGCAAAAGGGGAAGTCTTTTCAGATCCCATAGGAGGACTTTTGAAAGTTGTGCTGCAAATAAAGAAACAGATCCAGTTGGGCCTCTGAAGATGATGTTGAACAACTGTCCTCTGAAATCAGTATCAGAGTTCTAAAAAATTTCATATGGGTACTTAACATGAGTAATGGGAGTAAAATGCTCTCTCTCGCTTTCTCATACTTGTGCACTCACGCAGTCTGTACATTCAGATTTCAAGAGTCAAGAAAAAGATTGCATGAAATGAAAAAGGTGATGGGAACAAATAGCACTATAAATACTTCGGTTTCATTTCCGATGGGGATGCACCTAAAGAAGAATTAGGGAATATGAAAAGACTGGGTTTGGAAAAAAGCTCTGAAAGGGGAGCGAGCATCACACATTTGTTAAGGAAGGCAGGTCCAGGCACAAGAGAAAGAACGACAGGAGTCACTCAAGCGAGTGGATGATCTGGGGACAGAGGGTGGCAGAGCAAAATGGATTTCCTGCAGAAGGGGGCATCTAAAATACCAGATCTATTCTCCCTGAAGTCCATCCATCTTTCCCCATCCTTCTGTGTTATTAAAAGAAAATAAGTCTTACCAGTCAACAGGGTTATGGGCATGTTGAAGGAGATAGGGCGATTTCTCATGAACCAGACGGTTAGTGTAGAGAGCACTGCTGGAATGGCTGCCCTTCCCTCCTGTGGCCATGGCTAAGGCAGTTCTCAGATGAACACTTCTGCAACAAGAAACAGTAATCTATTTAGCCTGGCTCGTTGCCATTGTTCCTTCTCACTGCCTGGCCTCTTGCAAGACCCAGCAGTACCCAGGAGAGGCCAGGACCTGGGTAGACCCAAAGCTCTACTGTCAGCAAACATTCCAAGCTTATTATATTAATGAAGCAACAGCTCCTGGATGGACAGGAATAAAACAGAAGTCTTGGGCTAACCTTGGGAGCTGACCAAGCTATACCATACATATCAGTTTTGAGGCACACAGAAACTCCCTGTGCAGACTAATGGAAGCAGATTTTGCCGTTTTGCATGAGCTAAGTCACAGATATGAGAAGAGCCTCTTTCTTATTCTAATTGTTTACGGCTTCAAAACCCTGAGATTCACACACTAGAAGACTCACACATTTCTAGAGATACTTATGTCACACAAAAAATAAGAAGGAAAAAAGCAGGAAAGGTTTTCAACCATTAATGCTAACTTCAGTGATACAGACTTCATACGACACAAGAAACAATGGCTTGAATTGCTGAAATCTGACTTGTTGTTATGTGTAAAGTCACCTTTGGGGAAAAATATGTTAACCAGCCATTCAAAGTTTGTCACAGACTTAAGAATTCTGGCTTGTTTGAATCATGGCTTTTGTGCAATGATGGCTCATTACCTGATCAGGGGGGCTGCTTCGTCATGCTATGGTGAGAGAAAGCAACCCAAGACACCTACCCATCACTAGCTGCTGATATATCTTGACAGCTAAGCCTGTAACTATGGCTTGTTTCCCTGCCCACTCTGAAAAAGGAGCATGAAAGATGAAAAGCAGAAAAGAGGAAAATATGCCATGGTCCATTTTGTTGCCTGTCATGCAATTTATGGCGTATGCAGCAAATCATGGTTAATGCAAACCATGCATCATCATGAGGCAAACGCACAAGTCATAGCTTATTTCCTACTGTGAATTTACTGTCTGGAATACCATGCCCAAAAGACGCTTGCTAGCTACTTGTATGGCTCTGCATTTAGAAGGCTGATCAAAGTCTTGCTTTTTAGCCAGATTATACTATGGTTCTTTATTGCAATATTTTTCCAGTTTGTACTGTTTTATTTTCCTTGTTTTTATTTTATTTTGCATATATTTTGCCCTATTTTACTGTAAGCTGCTTCGGGTGCCCTTTTAGATAAGGTTTAGATACAAAGAATAAATTGAAAATAAATACATAACATGGTATTATCTTATCAGAACTACAAGTTAATTCAAGAACCAATTTGAAATGTTATCATGAGTGACAAATTAATTAGGAAAATATATAAATACCTTCTAAATTGGAAAATGGAGGATGAACAGGTCAAAGAAACGATGGTTCAATGGGCAAAAAAATTTGGGTACAATATTGACTTAGAAAAATGGCAAGGGCTGTGGTCTAAAAACTGTAAGATGACAATGGCAACATCTTATAAAGAGAATCTATATAAAATGTTTTATAGATGGCATTTACCTTCTGATAGATTAGCTAAGATGCACAGGTCAAGTAAATGTTGGAAATGTCATAAAAAAACTGGAACCTATTATCACCTCTGTGGACTTGTGATAAAGCAAAAAAAATTTTGGTACAAAATACATACATGGCTTGTTAAAATCATCAAAAAACATGTAGATTTTAGGCCAGAGCTCTTTCTGTTAGGTATAATACCAGAAAGTGTTGATAGACAAAATGTTTATTTAATACTCCATATTCTAACAGCGGCGAGGATTATCTATGCACAGTATGGAAAAATGAAGGAACACCTACAGATCAAGAAATAGTTAAAAAGATATTGGACTGCGCCGAAATGGACAGACTAACACTGAAAATCAAAGGAAAAGAAGATACAAAATATTATCAAACATGGGACTTATTCTATCAATGGTTAGAAGGATGTTGTATAGATTAGGAGTGTAATGTGTGTAGTAGTTGTTTTACAAATGATTATAAGCTGTACCCTGGTGACACGATGTTAAACCAATATGGATGGATTTATATAAAATTTTAAAAAAAGTTTAAAAAAATGTTATCATGAAGATAATGCATGCAGCCTTCAATCACACCTCTTCCCCCCTATGCACATATTTACACTCCTCCATTTATTCTGTCATTCTCAAATACAGTTCCTATACTCCACAGCTACTTCCTTAGTTCTTTCATTCCTTCCACTAACCCTAATTTTAAGAATAGGTCGTTGTTTTATAATGAATCACAATTTCTGGCATTCATCTTTCAGCACAATATACCACATGATCACACCGAACAATTTCTTGATCAACAGTTATTGTACTTTATCATTAATTATCTTGAAGTTACAGAGGAAGCCTAAGAATAAGGAGGCTTTTGAGGTCAACTAATTCCCCAACGAACTGAAGACATTAGAATATATCTAGATAAGAGCACCAAACTGACTGCTCTTTTAAGACTGTAAAATGCTTTTGAATTTATGCAGGTGCTAGCTACTTGTAACCACAATTTCACTGAATGAAAAAAGAGTTCTCCTTGTTTCAGATTATTTATGGCTTTAAGTGCAGCAAAAGAAAAACCACCTTGCAGACCCAGATGTTGCTTCTTTTTCAAACTGTGATCACCTCGACTGTTTCTGCCATCACAACAAACTGTACAACAGAGCTGTGGATTTTCAAAATGGGGTTGGCTCCACCCACATTCCAGAATATGACTTGTGTTGACCAATCAGAACCCACATCTCTTGTAGCAAATGGAACAAGCATTGTATCTAAAAAGATTCCAGTACAGCTCCTGGGGGGGGAGCAAACTTTGTAATATTGTCTATGTAACACATATATTTAGGTATATATGCCAATATATTGCATTATACTTCATGCCAAGGGTCTGTAGTCCAAGCAGGAAGGGCTTGCAGCTCTTATGGGAAAGCTGGCACCAAGAGCGGGTATGGTTCCTGATATCCCAGACCACGAATATCACTAATACCTCACAGTATGTCTTTACTATGCATTACATATTTGCAGTGCAGACCTTCAACATGTATACCTAAAAAGATATTTTATGCATATGATAAACATTACTGTATGCAGGAAACAAGGAATAGTGTCATGAGTTTGGAAAATGAACACAAACATTTTCCTCTGTATTTATTATTATTATTACAGCCAGTGAAAACATGATCTCCAAGCCTGGCACAGATGTTCACCCTTGCTTTAGCAGCTGCAAGTTATGTGAAAATTCAACATGAAGAGCATACCCCATCAACACATCTATATAATGAAAAGGGGAAAAATGTGCTGAGTATCTTTTTGTTATGCAAGAGCTGAAGGTGCAGGAACCATATCAGAAAAAAAATGCCAACTTAGAATAATTCAGCATGCTCTGAACATATAAGTAGGGCACTAACTAAAAATATATATATTAATCACAGACATCAAGGTGACAAGGGCACATTTCTGTCAGACTCTGGTTTGAACTATGCACAGGGAGGTCCTCTGCTTTAGCTCAGTTCAACCAAAGAAGAGCATTAGTAATACCAAGGATGCTTAAAATAATAAACAAAAAAAGAATAGCATAAGAACATGGCTTCTTGAAACATGTCTCGGATTAGGAATTGTCACGGCCTTTGGATACCAGACCAAACCACATTTTCTCATAAGGAATTCCCAAAAGGCCCAGTGCGGGGTTTGTTTGTTTGTTTGTTTTTGGAGCAAAAATTAATATAAGCCTCTGTCTTACTTTTGGGGAAACACGGTACAGTACTGCCGGTTTTTGTGGCTCTGATGGTGTGATTTCTGAGATCTGCAACTGCTTATATTGTTGTTGCTGCTACTACTACTACTATTGAAAGCAGCATATTGTTTATTTTAATATTTTAAGTAGTTTCCAGAGGAACAGCCCTCTTAGTCTATTGAATAAAAAGCAACAAGTTCTTTATGGCATATGTCTTGAGCCCATAGAATGGAAAGAGGTCAAAAACCTAAAATAAATATTTCAGGATTCATTAGGGAGCATTCTGAATTCTAAATTTTTAACTTTCAAAAACCAAACTATTATTGAGTCCATATGCTGCTCTTCTCCACGCAGTAATATCTCTTATGCATTCTTCCTTTCCTGTAACTGTTACCGTACATGTGTGTGTGTGTGATGTGCCATTGAGTTGGAACTGACTTCTAGTGACCCTAACAGGGCTTTCAAAATAAGGGGTGGCTTTATCAGTTCCCCATCTTAGTAAGCTTCCGCAGCTGAGCAGATATTCAAATTTAGGCCGCCTGAGTCCTAGTCCATCACTCTTTCCACTACTATGCAACACTGGGGATCCACCCCATAATCAGTAACTCCAAATTTTCACGTAGTTACAACATCTGTCTAACAAGACTTCCAAAGCCTGGAATTTGGTTTTAAAGATGCAATTCATAGGCCTTTTGCCAAAGTGTTCATTTGGTACCAGGCAAAACCATTTCTACCACCGGATATATCGGAAAGTGGACTGATGTTCCTTCTGGTTTCACTCCTCCACAGGGAAACAACATGACATTTTGTAATTGCTAGGAATTACAAAATATAGGATTAGACACACCCAGAGCCACCCAGTGAAAAGTCACTATAGTTGATGCATACCTACTAGGGTTGAAATCAGTGGGGCTTACTTCAGAGTAAACACTGTATCTATAAGATCAGGCTGCAAAGGAGAAAAAGAAGAACAGGATCTCAGTCCAAACTAGCAGGATCTTTACAGGGCAGAAGACTGAAGTAGGGCTACTGCAAAAATTGTCCTGCTAGTTTGGACTGAGAAGAAGTGTTATCAGGTTATAAGCCCATCAAATAAGGATAGGAACGGTGTCTAGAGATCTGGGAAGATACAGCAGAAACGGCACACACAAGTACAATGGTGCAACGAAACCCATACTAGCAGCTAATATTTCCCCCGAACATCTACCAGACTGCAGAGGCACGCATAAAAGCTGAGTTAAAGAGAAGAAAGTTGCTGTCAGCAGTACAGACAGAAAAGTTCAAGAGCTGCTACTTTACTATGTAACACACTCCTTCATCGTCCTAATAACGCCGATTGTGCCCGGGGGTGGGGGCAGGCTGTCCACGGTGTGAGAGAGAGAGCTATCAGGGTCTCGAGTTCGGATTTCCCCACCACCACCCCTGCAAAATTCCCTCTTTGCTTTCTGCGCTTCTCGGGAGCGGGCCTTCCCTTCCCTTCCTCAGCCCCGCACATTCGTCGGAGGGCAGCAGTGTCTGTCTGGAGGAGGCTGCCCTGAACCCACAATCTCCAGAGGCCGCGTTAGGTCACCCCTTCGGCGAGGAAGGCCAGGCCGCCGCCGCCGCCGAGCCCCGGTGGGGGGAGCCTCCTTCTCTTGCCCTCGCCGCGCCTCCAGGGAGGGATGGGCGGCCTTTTTCCGCGCCGAGGTTCAAGTATGAGCGAATGCGAAGGCCGCCGAAGGGGAGTGATTCTGGTCTGGTGGAGCTCGGCGGAGGGAGAAGAGGGGCGCGAGTCCCGATCCCTCTTCGGAGGAGTCCGCACCAGGGCTACTACCAGGGCTCCGTCAGACGACCGGGTCACCCTGAAAAAAGCGAGTGAAGGACGCGCTCCCTGGAGCAAAGTGTTGCGCGAGGATACGGCTGGCCTCTTTCTCAGAACTCTGGCCTGCTTGGAGCAGAATTTCGCTCGTTTGCCCCGGAGCTGAGAGGGAGGCTCGATCGATTTCTGCAAAAGACAGGGAGCCTCTGTATTTCTTTGGGAAGGAAAATATTACTTGGAGGGGTTGTTTGAGGGTACTGCAGAGAGCAAGATTCCCAGTGTGGTTAGTGGACAGGGTGGCAGGCTTGGAGTGGACCTGATAAAACGTCTCCTTAACTACCACCTGAACTACTATCCTTCCCACACCTAGAAAGCTCTGTTAGGGTCGCTTTAAGTCTGTTCGGACGTGAGGACACAAGACACACACAGAGAAGAGAGTAGAGGGATACATGTAGAAGACTGCCTGAGAGCAGATTGTACAGTACCTTGTTGTCCACTTAGTCCCTTGTAAGTCTTCTTTTCCTGCAGGCGAAAATATCTCCTGCACCTCTGACACAAAGTCAAGGAGGTGATTGCCAAGGCCCTGAGAATATCTGCAGGTACTTTTCCCTGATAGGCTTTCCTTAGAGCCTTTTGCCTTTTTGGTCCAGGGCCACCTACTGAAGGAGTGGAGAACCTTTAGTACTTTGAGCAGCTGTTCTCAAGGCGGGGAAGTAAGGCCCCCTGGGAGACCCTGGCATATCTGAAGGGGGCCACAGGCAGGAAACAGTTCTTCACACACCACCTTGTAAGGTTCATGCGACTGCTGCAATCCTGATTTGGCGTCTGTTTCTTTCATATTGTGTTTATGACTGTGGCCAAAGAAAGGTTGAGAATGGCGTCTTTAGAGATCCCATCAGCCCCCTCACCCTAGGGAATAAGACAAAATTGTGGGAGCTGTCGTCTGAAACATCTGGAGGGTCAAAATTTCCCCACCCTGGCCTGCCAGCAGGGTCATGGATTAACATGATGTTTCACTGGAGAAAAAAAATCCCAAGGAGGTAGCCATGGTCATGTGATACAGCAGAAACAATGAAGAGTCTTGTGGCATCTTTAAGATGAGCAGGTTTATACTTCATGTAAATTTTTGGAGTCATGGCCAGATCCTTCAGGTGTAATATTCAAGCTATCCAATATTGGTAATATTCAGCTCCTGGTTATGGAGGTGGGACAAGATGAAATGAGATGCAGGAGATGACAACTGTATGGTAAACACTGGTCTTACAATCAGCTTCTTGAAAGTTTATGGCCACTGTTATTGATCTAGTTGCCCTCTTCAGCATCTCTCTTAATTCCGCCACACCCCTAACCAGAGCCAGTGTTTGTATAAGCCTGTTGTGGCTTTGATATTGTGCTCCATGCGTATGAGGAAGTGAACCGAGACCATGAAATGGCAGCCTTAAAGCTGTTACAAGACTTTCTTACTGGAAAAAATGGGAAGCTGAGAGTCAACCTGAACTCATGAGCACCCTCGCTGGATCCTGACCATTCCTTTAAGCAATAGTCTCTCCCTCCCTTCCAATGGGGAGATTCAGCCAGCTTTTGACCTGGCAGGTGTAGAGAAGAAGCTGAAGGAGGTGTATAAAAGAGGTATTTCTCTTCACATTTTCATAGATTCTTAGAATAATTGAGTTGGAAGGGGCCTATAAGGCCATCGAGACCAGCCCCTGCTCATGACGGGAATCCAAATCAAAGCAGGTGTGACAGATGGTTGTCTTAAGTTTCTCTTGAATGCCTCCATCATTAGAGCACTCGTCATCTCCCAAGGTAACTGGTTCCACTGTCATACTAAACTAACAGTTGAGATGTTTTTCCTAATATTCAGCTTAAATCTGGCTTCCTGTCGCTTGACCCCATCATTATGTGTCCTGCACACTGGGATGAGTGAGAACAGGCCTTTGGACTTCCTCTGTATGACTGCCTTTCAAGTATTTGAAAACTGCTATCACGTTTACCCCTCAGTCTTCTTTTCTTAAGGCTAAATTAAACATGCCCAATTCTTTCATAGGGATTGGTTTCCAGTACCGATCATCCATGTTAGCCTCTTCTGAACTTGTTCCAGTTAGGTGGCATCCTTCTTAAAGTGTGGTGTCCAGAACTGGACACAGT